CCCGCTCCCGCCCTGCAGGCAGAGGCTGCCTCGGCCATAGCCTCCCTCCCAGGGTCTGGCCCTGGGTCCTGGCACACCGGGGCTGGCAGGAAGGCAGGGAAGGCCGGCCGAGGCTGGTGCGGGCCCCCCACAGCCAGGGCCTGGTAAATATCTCTGCACCCTGGGGTCTCAGAGCAGAACCTGGTCAAGCCTGAGGTCAGTCTTTGGGGACAGATGTCTCCCCCTGCCCGGGCTCTTAGGAGGGAGCGTGGCCAGACGCACCTCGCCAGGACATGGGCTCAGCTTCCTGCCCGTGAGGGGCAGTGACGGGTGGCCATAACGGGCAGGCTGTGCCAATGCCGTCCCTGTCCGCACTCCCTGCAGGTGACCCTACCCCTGGCCAGGGGACACCAGTGTCTTTCCAGAACCACTCCCGGAGGTCACTGTCCCGACCTCGGGAGGCTCTCGCTCTGGGAGTCGAACTTTGCATTTCCCTGTCAGTCCGCAAAGCCGGCAGCCTCCTAGCACAAAGTGGCTGCGTTGGCCCCCGACCCCTAAGATCTGCCTTCCAGGTGCCTAAGAACTGACTGGCAGCCATGGGGGGCAGGACCGCCAGGGTCACAGATGCAGGCGGGGCCAGGTTTGTGTCCAAATCCCACATGTTAGCTGTCACTGGGTATGAGGGGGCTGCACCAGGGAGGGGCTGGCTGGTGTCCACGACCCCTGGGCCCCCAGGCAAGTGAAGATCCAGGAGCTGGGAGCCAGGGCAGCGAGTGTCTTCGTGTCTGGAGTTCTCCCAGCCAGTGCCACGAGGGCTGCACCAGCGGGGGCCACCTCTGGTGAACACCAAGGCAGGGCCAGTCACACACGCAGGGCACCCACACAGGGCTGAGAGTGTCCCCCAAAGGCACGTCTGCCTGGAAGCTCGGGATGTGACCTTGTTTGGAAACAGGGTCACTGCAGATGTAACTAGTGAAGCTGAGGTCCGACTGGACTGGGGGGGCCCTGGATCCAATGATGGGTGTCCTTATAGGAAGGGCAGAGGACATGAGCGGGGACACAGGTAGACGGAGGCAGGCACCGGAGAGGTCACCTGCAAGGTGAGGCTCGCCAAGGACTGGGAGCGAGGCCAGGGACAGACTGGAGCCTCTGGAAGGAGCTGGTCCTGGCGACACCTTGGTTGGGACCTGGGCTGGAGGACCGTGTGGGAGTCAGTCTCTGCTCTCAGCCGCCTCATGCGCGGTAACTGGCAGGCTGGCTGGGCCCGCTGGGAGGAGTCAGGGCGCTGCCAGGAATGGCCAAGGCCCTCTGGACGCTTCTGGGGGTCGCGCCAGGCAGGTTCCATGGGGGCTGTAGGAGGGGAGGGTGCCGGGGGCGGGCTACAGCCAGAGAAGGGAAGGGAGACGCCTTCTCAGCCAGGCCTGGAGGCAGCGGAGGGTTCAGCTGATCGTGAACACATCTGAGCCCTGGGCGGGGGGAGGTGGCAGCCCTGCGGGGTCCTCACCACAGCCACTCCTGGGCCGGCTGAAATGGGTCACAGCGGCCCAGGAGGACCGTGCGACCAGAGGGGGCTGGGCAGGGGCTCCGGGGGCCTCCCTGTACGCGCGCCCCCTGGGCCCTGGCGGGTGGTCCCGGGGCTTCCCTCCCTCGCTCTGCATCCAGCCGGGAGCACCGATCGCCAATTGCTGCAGAGCAGGATGTCCTCTAGAGAGGCTACTCCAGAACTCAAAATAGCATGAAATTTAATTTTCCGCCTATTTGACAAGGCTTGGTCCAGGTCCCATCAGCAGCAGAGATAAGGGTCCCGGGGACCAGGGTGCAGCCAGCTGGGCGGGCGGCAAACACTCCACGGTCCCCGGGCAGGCCGCGTGCAGGTGAGGCCGGTCTGCGGGCGCCCCCCCCGCGGGGCTCTGGTTGCCGGGCGCTAAAGCAAACGGGCTCTATTTGCCCAGTCTGCGATGACAATGCCGTCACCAAATATTTGCCAGCCCCGGCGGCTGCAGGGCCGGACTATAAATGCTTGCACCCAGGTGGAGGTGGGCCTGCCCGGTGAGAGCTGCAGGCCTCCGGCAGGTAGGAGCCGGGCCTCGGGGGCGGGCGGGGGCTGCCGGGCCTGTGAGCCTCTCTGCCCAGGAGCCCTGCAAGGACTGCCCGTGGGAGAGACCCAGGGCTGGGCAGGGCAGGGCATGGGGGCAGGTGGCAGGGGGAGGGGCGCCTGCGCCGTCCAGGGCCAAAGCCCCCCAAGCCTCCCTGGGCGGGGCCGGCAGTGTGGGTGCGATCAGGACCCCAGCACGGCCAGGCCGGGGGGCAGGAGGGAGCTCCAGCAGCTCCTGCAGGCGAGGGGGGTGGGCGCCCAGGTCAGCTGACCCCGAGGAACGTGCCCCCACTCTCCCGCCTCCCTTCAACCTCCTTCCCTTTCTTCCCCTCTCCTGCTGGGGTCCCCCGAGAAGGACTCAGGCTTCCTGGCCCCAGGGCACCCGCCTGCCCCCACGTTGTGTAGGGCCAGGTGGTGCTTGTCCATGGTGGGGCTCGGGGTTCAGAACCAGCCCCTGCTTGGCCACTGCTCAAGGTGAGAGCCGCTCCTGCCCCCCCAGGCCACCTTCCCGGACCCCCACCCCCCACACTAAGCCCCAGGCCCAGGTGCCTCCCTGGGGTATTCTGGACAGTCACGGTGGCCCCTGCTGCCCCTCCGGGGCTGCTCTGACACGGCCACCCCACCGTTAGTGGGAGGCATCTAGGTTGGGGCCGCTCCCTGCTGAGGGGAGCAGGGTAGGGCCTGGCGCGGTGACTGCAGCCGGACTCGATGGGACGGCCCAGCTCACCCTCAGCCGGGGCAGGCAGGGCCCTCCCAGCCCCCCGAGCGCCCCAGCGAGGCAGACTCAGCCCTTGATCCAGAGCCATAAAGCCCCCCGGTTCTCCCTGCCGCAGCTCCAGCCTGGGCAAGGCCTCCGCTCAGCGGGCCCAGACGCCTCACCCCGGTATGGACAGGCGCCCTTCGCTCCTCCTCTGCTTTCGGGGCAGCCCGAGCCCCTGGGGCTTCTAGTGGCGCCATCCCACCTCCCACCTCCCTCCCTGCGCCCCCTGACCACCCCCATAAACAGGACCAACTGTTCCCAGCCGGTGACCAGCTACCACCCTGGAACCCCCACCCCCGTGGCCTGCACTCCTGCAGGTCTCACCCCTCGGCAGCCCCTCTCACCCCCTCGTGCCACGGTGCCTGCCCTGCCTCTCGCCACACCTCCCCCCGCGGAGCTCAGCGCCCTCACCAAGCACGGCCTTCAGGGGTCATCCCCCCAGGAGGGCCGGGGGCTCCAGGAGACGCCACACAGGTGTGGGGTCCGAGTGCAGCGGTCGCCCAGTGGCCAGGGCAGGGCCAGGCCAGATAGACAACCCGCCGACCTCTGGCTCCTTCCCCAGACAGCACCCGCTGCCTCGGAGGCCTCGGAAGCAGGGGACAGCGAGGACATGGCCGCTGGCGTGATCCGGCCCCTGTGTGACTTCCGGCTGCCCCTGCCACCCCACCGCTCCTTCCTGCCCTCAGACCTGGACCCCCCCGAGACTTCGGAGGAGGAGGAGGAGGAGGAAGAGGAGGAAGAGGGGGAGGAGGAGGAGGAAGAGGAGGAGGAGCTGCAAGGTGAGGGGCCAGGGGGCTGCAGCCCGCCCCCCCAGTGCTCAGGCTGGGCCGAGCCCACCCCGGAAGCAGCCCCTGAGGGTCCCGGCCGCCCTGAAACGCCACTGCAGCTGCTGCGGTTCTCCGAGCTCATCAGCAGTGACATCCAGCGGTACTTTGGCCGCAAGGACAAGGGGCAGGATCCAGACGCCTGCGACATCTATGCTGACGGCCGCCCGGCAGGCAGCTCTGCCCGGGAGCTCTACTACGCCGACTTGGTGCGCCTGGCCCAGGGCAGGCCCTGGGAGGATGAGGAGGCCCCTGAGCCCGGGGTCTGCTCGCCGGGGGGCCCCGGGGGCCAGGCGCACAGGCTGGGGCTCAGCAGGGACAGAGCACAGCCGCTGGGACCCCTGGCCGAGCTCTTCGACTACGGTCTGCGGCGGTGCGCGGGGCCCAGGGCGTCGGGGGGCCACAGCATGAGGCTGGAGCGGAAGTACGGGCACATCACCCCCATGACCCAGCGGAAGCTACCCCCGTCCTTCTGGAAGGAGCCGGCCCCCAGCCCCCTGGGCCTGCTCCACCCTGGCACGCCCGACTTCAGCGACTTGCTGGCCAGCTGGTCAGCTGAGGCCTGCCCCGAGCTGCCCGGTGCGGGGGCCCAGGCCCTGGAGGGGGCCCAGCTGGCTGAGCCCTAGAGAGCAGGCTGGGGGTGGCAGGGCCACCTCCCTATGGCAGCCCCTCTCCCTCCTGCCCTCCTGGGACAGCCTCCAGGGCCTCTGCATCCAGGGCGGCCCCAGGACAAGGTGGGCACAGGCAGCCGAGAGCAGGACCTGGGCTCGCGCTGAGGCCCGGAGCCGCCACGGCCAGGGGCCTCCAGGGCTGGGAAAGGGCAAGAGCAGGGGGTGCCCAGGCCTGGCTGCTCCTGGCCCTCGGCCCCAGCAGAGCCCCCCCAAGGGGCACAGGGGCCCTCAGAGCTCTGCCCACGGCAGGGAGGACCCAGACAGAAGCTGCGGCTACTCCGAGGTCATAGGCTCAGGGGGCTCCATACATGCTGCACCTCCCAGGGGAGCCCGAGCTCCGCCAGGCCTGCCTGAGAGCGAGGTCCCCATTGCCGCGCCCCGGCACTTGCTCCCTCAGGATGAGCAAGGGTTTCCTTAGAGAGGCGGCAAGGCGGGGAACAGACACTGGCTGTTTACTCCCCGGCTCGTGCAGGGGGTGTGAAGGGCTAGCGGGCAGGGTCTGGGGATCCCAGACGGTCGGCCGCTGGGCTGGGACAGGACAGGAAGAGTCCTGGGGGTCAAGGACTGAGCCCCTTGGGGCTCGGCCACTCCCACTGCTGGGCGAAGCCCTGGTCAGCCCCGTGGGCCCTCGGAGGATGTCGCCGCAGGCATCAGGGACCCGCCTGATGGGGTCAAGGCACGTTTATTTCTGGCGGTGGGGCAAAGACGTGAGGCGCTGTGCAGGCTCGGCTGTGGGGCTGCCCCGGGGCCCCTCCCGGCCTCCGCTGCGCCGCCAGGGTCAGGAGGGTCACCTTCCACTGCAGCCACCTGCCAGAGACACGGCTCATGGCCCGGGACCCCTGCCCGTCTCCCGCGTCCCACCCGCCACCCCCGGCCCTCAGCCCTGACCCCCGCGTGGAGGGTTGTGCCCACCTCACGGCCTGGTACACGCCCCAGCGGTTCACGGGGACCACCTCGCCGGGGGCCCCGTCCTTGACGAAGCACCGCTGCCTCACCAGGGACGCGCGCGCCTTGCGGCTGCCCTGCGCCAGCGCCCGGGGGCCCTCCTCGCCCCACAGGCGCACCAGGCTCTCCCGCAGGGCCGCCATCTCCTGCGTGCGCTGCGGACACGGGGGCACGCGTCACCCCGAGCCGTGGGGGCCAGGCCTGGGCGGAGGCGGCACGCACGGGGGCTTATCTCCCTCATCTGCAGGTAAACGCTACTCCCGCCAGGCGCGCAGACAGGTGGCGGGGAACTGCAGGGCGGGCGGTGGGGCGGGCTACCCCCGCCCGGGGCGCCTGGGACCCCCCTCACCAGTTTGGTTTCTGTGTTAAACTGGAGGTTCTGGATGGTCTTGTTGGCTTGGATGCTATTTTCCAGTTTTATCATTTGGTTCTGAAACTAAACACAGCCCCCATCCCGGGGCACAGACTCGGCCCGGCTGCTGGGGTCCAGCTGTCCCGAAGGGCCCCCACCCCCAAGTCCCTGCCTGCTCGGAGCCTGGGCAAGAGCCGCCTCCCGCCACAGCCCTGGTTCTCCCTGCATGGCCCTGTGGGGGTCCCGGCCACGGCCCAGGGCTGCCCCTGCCGTCGTGGCTGCCAGCACCCAGTGCACCGGGGGCTGCACCCCGGTGTCCCCACTTGGAACTTCCAGAGGCCCAGACGTGCCGGGGCCGCCCAGGGAGCTGGTTGCGATAGCCTTGCCCTGCGGCTGGAAGACGCCCCTGGGCTGGGGGTCCCAGATCTGGCCTCCCCTGGCGGAAGGGGGTCCTCTGGGGTCCCTCGGCCTGAGCTGCCCCCGTCTGGCTGCCTGGGCCGGGTGCTACCGTGGCCATCCTGCCCTGCATCTCGGCGATCTTCCGCCCGGGGTTGTCCTCCTTGAGCAGCTGCACGGACGACAGCAGGGCGGCCAGCTCCTGCCGCAGGGCCCCGACCTCGGACTCTCTGCGGGCACCGGGGCAGGGGCTGGCCGTCGGTGCGCCAGGGGCAGGCCAGAGCTGGGGGACACGGGTGGGCAGCTCCTCTGGCTGCCACGGGCCTAAGGGAGCTCAAGGGGTGCTCAGCCTTGCGGCCCCTCCAGTGGGGGTGGTTGGGGCCCCCAGTGGGTGATGGAGGCTGGAGGAGCTGGGCAGGCTGCACCAGGGTGGAGGGCCCGGTGCTGGGCCAGGCCTGGCGGGGGAGGGGATGGGGTTGCCATGGCACCCAGGGCTGTGGGACCAGCCCAGCGCATGACTGTCTGCAGAGCTCCTGCCCCGCCCAGGGCCCAGGGGCTGGGCCTCACCTCGCCCTGCCTTCGGCAGAGATCCTGATGTCTGAGTCACTCTTGTGGAGGACGCACTTGTCTGAGACGCCTTCTATCTGAAACATGGAGCGCAGAGTGGGGGGCAGCAGGGGAGTGGCCCCCAGCATGGCCAGCTCAGGGGAGCCCCACACCCGGCCAAGGCCAGTTTGGCCAAGGGCAGCCGCAGGGGGAAGAAGAATTTAGACCCACGCCGCCGCCCGAGCTCTGAATCCCTGCAGGCTGGCTGTGCCCATCCAGGCCAGGCCTGTGGCTCCGGCCGCCACCCACCTGCCGGGGGAGGCTGTCCACCTTGTCCCACATGCCCTGCAGGTGCCCAGCAACCTCCTTCTGCCACCGGGCCAGGTCCTCCAGGGACTTCCTCTCCGCACCTTCCCATTCGGTCTTTGCCTGGGACACAGACACCCAGTGAGGGCCGGAGCCCAGAGAGCGAGGACGCGTGGGCAGGTGGACGCGTGGGCAGGTGGACGCTGGAGCCAGAGCACAGGGAGGCCCCCGGAGTTGAGCTCCAGAGGACAAGCAGCCCCATGCCCACCTCCGACTCTGAGCACGTCTGTGCAGACAGGACAGACACACGTGGGGACAGACATGCCGGCCAGGGCCAAGGCAGTCGCAAGCCCTCCCAGGTGGGGCTGCCAGGCTGAGCAGAGCCACACGCTGAGAACAGCCACGTGCTGAGAACAGCCCCTGCAGCCCACGCAGGGTCAGCGGGCACAGGACAGCGCGGACCGCCTGGCCACTGCCGGAGACGGGAGGGAGGTCAGGTCAAGGGCCCTCGGGGCCGTTGTGGCCACACATGTGCCCAGGGGGCAGCAGGGCAGGCCGGGCATCGAGCCCCCACACCAAAGGGTGGACCCCCGCGTCCACGGCAGTATCGACGACAGACAGAACATGGAAACAACCTAGTGCCCACCAGCGGATGGGTGGACAGACCCCACGTGGTCCACCACGCGATGGGACGGTGCCCGGCTAACGCAGGCCACACCGCGGGTGACCTGGAGCGCGACGCTCAGCGAGACCAGCGGGAACAACGGCCACACGCTGCGTGACTCCACGTGTACAAAACGCCGGAACCGCAAATCCGTGGAGACTGCTGGTTCCCGGGGCGGGGGGTGGCTAACGGTGCGGGGGTCTTTCTGGGGTGATGGCGACACCCTAGAACTGACTGCAGCGATGGCTGCGCAGCCACGTGAGCACACGGGAAACACGACCGCGAGCTTTGGAAGGGTGAGCAGCGGGCGTGCGAATTACGTCTCGATAAAGCTGTTAATGAAAGAAAGAAGGACACGGGCGCCCACCTGCCCCCGGCGGCCCCCCGGAGGCTCCACCTGGCCTGGGTGCTGCACTGAGGCTGCTACAGGGGATGTCCTCGGGCGCGGGTCCCCTGGGCCCCGCAGACCGCCAGAGGGAGGGTGGGAGGCTCAGGGCCTGGCCAGGGCTCCACCCTGCGGGCTCCCCCCGTCTGCCTGACGCGCCCCCTGCCCCGCCGTCCGGCTCACCTCGGACAGCCGCAGGCCCAGCATCTGCCCCTGCAGGTCCCGCCTCCAGCTCAGGGTCAGGAACTGGTCGCTCAGATCCTTCAGCTGTGCGGCCAGCTGGGCCACCGACGCCTCCAGGTCCTGGCTCTTCTCTAGGAGCTGTGGGCACAGGTGTGGGGCAGGGAATCCCGGCTGAGAGCCCGTCCTGTGTGCCTGGGCGACCCTGCTGGGGCCCGGCCCGCCGTGCCCCTCACCGCAGACAGCTGGCTGTGCGTCTCCTGCAGGGCCAGCTCTCGGGCCCGCTGCGCCGCCCCCAGGCTCTCCTGCACCTGCGAGGCCAGCTCTTCCGCCTGGCCCTCCTCCAAGCGCCCCTTGGCAATCCTGGGGGTTGGTGCCATCGAAACTGCCCCTCAGCCAGGGCTGGCCCGCCCCTCAGCACTGGGCCAGGGAGGGGATCCTGCCTGCTGGCTCTGGAACCTTCCGGGACACCCCGGGCTGAGAGGAGGGAGTGCTGTCACGGGGCCACCAAGACAGGGCTGCATGCCCGCTGCCACAGCTGAGCCCCCGAGTGCAGGACAGGCTGGAGAAGGGATGGGAGCCCCCACGGGAGAGGTGGCTACGCTGCCGCGTGCGTCCCGCTGAGCCTAGCGCTCTGCTTGGGGCTGCCGGGGGAGGCAGGGCCACCGTGGCCTGCTCCTGAGTGGGTATGGGGGTTGCCCTGGCCTGACAGCCCCCGAGGCCCCAGCACAGCCTGGAGGACACCCACAGGGCCTTCTGCTCGGCCAGCAGGACGCGGTTCAGCGATGCCTGGTTCTGCTGCACGAACTTGGTCAGCTGGACCACAGCCGCGTCCAGACCCCGGCACTGCTCCAGGAGGTGGCCTTCCTCCTGCTGCGGGCAGGCAGAGGCGGCTCTGGGACCCGTGCGCCCTGCCCCGGCCCCGCCCACCAACCTGCCAGGCCCCACCTGGCGCTGCCCACACAGGGCCCGCAGGCGCTCCTCCATCAGCTCCCGCAGCGCCTCCCAGCGGCCCTCCAGCTCCTCCCGCAGGCGGCCCTCCAGCCGCAGCCGTGAGCTCTCCGCCGCCTTCATCCTCTGTGGGGAGAGTCCGCTGAGAGTCCGCGTCTGCGCAGGGGCGGGCCGGGCCGGGCCGGGGCCGGGGCGCCCACCTTCTCCAGGGCCAGGAAGCTCTTCTGCAGGAAGCCGCACAGCTTGGCCTCCCTCTTCAGGAAGCGAAGGCTCATCTCCTCGCCGAGCGTCGTCACCTGGGCCTGGGGAGGGTCCACATCGTCCCTGTGCGGCCACTGCCAGACGTTGGGGCCCAGGGGGAGCCAGGCAGAGCCCTCGGGGCCTGTCTCCGCCCAGACAGCTGCCTTCCTGCTGCACTCGGTCTGGGGGCCTGGGGTGCAGGGGGCAGGGGAGGCACAGAAAACGCCCTGGAAGCTCTATCTGCTGAGGCCCTGCTGCCCCCCCCACCCCCAGGAGGTGCCCTGGAGCAGGTCTCTCTCTGCAAACAGCCAGAGAGTAGATGCTCCTGGCTTGCAGGGTCTCCTCTTGACGCTGCGGTCACAGCCCCCAAAGTAGCCACAGACGAGATACAAACGCTGTTCATGGCTGTGCCAATAAAGCTTTACGCACAAAAGCGGGCAGTGGGCCTTCGCTTGCCGACCCGGCCCTAGAGAGCGCTCAGATGCCCCTGTGCTCAGGGAAAGGCCGGCACCACGGGGAGCAGCTTCCCCCACTCGGCCTACTGGGAAGCCTCAGCCTAGCAGCTCCCGCCATCTCCTCGGAGCCACGGCGCTGACCTCCCAGGGCAGTGAGGGGCCGACCCTGGGCTGTGGAGCTGTGTGGCAGCAGCTGGGGTGCGCTCACGGCCTCCCCAGTCCCCTGCCCCGGGAGCCAGCTGCAGCCCCTGCCTCTGTTTGCAGAGCTCAAGACCTGGGCTGCCTGGGCCCCTCCCCACCCCAGAGCAGAGGCCCCTCCTAAGGCCACAGTGGAGGGGAAGTCGCGCCACCCCTCTGAGCAGGACCCCGGGTGCTAGGGACTCGTGCCCCAGGAAGGTGACCTCCCCTGAAAATGGTTGTGGAGGGGCTTCAGGGCTCCGACATTCTATTTCTCAATCTGGGCGCTGGTTGTATGGGGGGTGCAGCATGCATGGGGCCGCGCTATTCAACAAGCTTGTGCGGCGAAGGATGCCCAGGTCAGCAGCCGCCGGCCACACGTGGCTACTGAGCAGCGAAGCGTGGGGTGTGTGACTGAGGAGCTGTTTTAAGTTGTCTGAATCGTATCTGATTTCAGGGGGCAGAGCAGCCACTGCACTGGGCAGCACAGGACTTGGGGTCCTCCCAGGGCCGACCACCTGGACAGAACCGAAAGCAGAGCTGGCGGGGGGGAGGGCATAGGCTGTGCGAGTCGGGGGCTCCTCTGGACCCTGTGGGCAGCTCCTGGGGCTGGGCCTGGCCCCCAGGCGCACCTGCATCCTGGCCACCTCGTGGCCCACTCGCTGGCTGGCGTCCTCCTGGCTTCTCTGCAGGCCGCTGCAGGCCGCCTCCCGGCCCTGCTCCTCCTGCCTCAGCGAGTCGGTCAGCTTGGCCAGCCTGGGGACATCGGCTGCCGGTCACAGGGCCTGGCTGGTGGGGCCACTGGACCTTGATCCCTCTGGGGCCGGGGCTGACCTCCCGGCTGGCCAGGCGGGTGGCGTACAGCCCCACCCGGCCACATGCAGAGGGGTGGGAAGCAGACCCTGGGGCAGGGCCAGGCTGGGGTCTCCTTCCCCACAGTAGGGTCTCCGTCCCGGCAGCCAACAGCTCGGGGAGGGCAGGGGATGTCCTGCTGGCAGTGCCTCGGCTGGGCCAGTGACCACCAGATGGCGGCCCAGAGCCATCCCCAGTGCCCACCTGAGGGCCACCTCCTGCTCGGTGGCCTTCCGCTCGGAGTCCTGCTGCGTCTGCCGCCTCCTGATCTGGGTCAAGGCTTCCCGCACCTCCACCAGCCTGGCACACAGGGAGCCACTTCTGACAGGCCCGGAGCTCGCAAGGCAGTCTTTGGGGGCTGGGGGTCCAGCTGGGGGGCCCTGCAGCCGGCCTCCCACTGTGTCCCCCCCGTGGGCTGCCGGGGCGCCATCAGACCCAGTCCTCTCTGCGGGGCCCACACATGCATGCTGCTCACTGGGCAAGACAACCCACTGGGGAAGGGGCTCTGGCGCCAGCCACTGCTTTCCGGAAGCCCCATCCCCTCCCCTCCCACCAAGGCTGTGCGCGGGAGCGTATGCGGAGGTACCTTTTGTCCAGGGCCTGCATCTGGTTCTGGCTCTGGGGGCCAGGGGGCTGCGAGGAGGAGGGTGTGGGCTGGCGCGGGCCCGGGGCTGCCACCTGCCCTGAGTCCTCCCAGCTCAGGCACGTGGCCTGAGAGCCGGGGCACAGGGGCTCCCCTGCTAGGGGACCTGGGTTCAGGGTCTGGGCAGCGGGTGCAGGGCTGGGCGCGGGGTGACGGAGCAGCTGCCCCCAGCCCCCAGGAAGTGCGAGCTGGAGCTGCGGGGGTGCTGCTAACCTCTGGCGCCTCCTTCTCAGGGGCCGCCTGCTGCACCTCCTGCTGCAGCCGCTGCAGCTCCGAGTCCTGCACCCGCACGAGGGCACGCACCCGCAGCAGCTCCCGCAGCAGGCTTAGCGTGGCGCGCTCGCGGCGCTCCTCCTGCCCCCGCAGGCAGGCCACCTCGGCCTGCAGGGAGGCCACCCTAGCCAGGGCAGGGGCAGGGCTGGGTCAGGCCGTGTCCCCAAGGGTGTGTCCTCCCGCCCCCGAGCCCGCGGGCTCACCACTGCTCCAGCTGCTGGGCAGTGTCCCGCTCGGGGACAGAGGCGGTAGACGCCAGGAGGCTGGACGCATCCCTCTCCGACGTCTCCAGACTCAAGGGCTCGGGGCTGGCCAGGCTTCCCACCAGGAGCCCCAGGTCCTCCGAGGTGACAGTGCTCAGCCGGGAGGGGGGCGATGCCCCTGGGGAGGGGCCGCTGTCCGCGGGCTCTGCAAGAAGGTCCTTGGGAGCTCACCCCTGGGGTGCTGGCTCCCGCTGGAGCGCGTGGTAGACAAGGACGCAGATCGCTGCAGGACGCCACCCTGAGCTCTCACAGCTGGGTCCAGACAGAGGCTCGGCTCAGAGAAGGCCAGGGGCCTGCCTGAGGACACCCAGCACTGGGCGGCAGAGACAGGACAGTGCCCCCACCTGGCCAGCTCCAGAGGAAGTTCCCAGAGGCTGGGAAGCAGAGCGGTCCCGTGAGGCCCACGGGTGGCCAGGCCCTTCCTGGACCTCGTTTCTCCAGCTGGGCCCCGGCAGCAGCTCACCTGACATAGCTTCACCAGCAGGCCCAGCCCTGGCGGTCGTCCAGAGCGCACGGCAGGCCGGGCAGGGAGGGGCTGGCTGGAGGGAGGCAGGAGTCAGCTGGGAGCAGGAGGGGCGCAGTGGGGTGAGCTCCTGCCCTTACATCTCGCCTCCTTCCCAGACGGTCCCCGGGGAGGCAGGTGCGGCTGGGCAACTGGGGCTATTCTGGAACCTTCCTTTCCTCACCAGAACCTCATGACTTCACGGCCCAACTGCCAGTGGAACCTGAGCTCTCAACCCTCCCGTTCCTGCAAAGCCTCTCCAACTGCCTGCTTCTGGAAGGATCCGAGGGGGTGCCATTCCCAGGGGGGCACAGAGGAGCGTGTCAGCGGTGGGGGAGTGGGGGCTGCCCCCGGCCTGGGCCCAAGGGGAGGGACGCCAGCAGAGTGGCCGGCGAATGGAGCAGCAGGCTGAGCCCAGGACAGACCAGCCCTGCGCACACGCCGGGGAGCAGAGGCCCCAAGCCCAGAGCCCATGGCCCACGGCAGCGCGGCCAAGGCGGGGGGCAGCCACCGGCGATGTCAGCCTTTCCCGCAACCGCATTAAAAAGTAAAGGGACAGGCAAGATGAACTTTAACAGGTCACTTTATTTAACCTAATATATCCAAAATATTATTTCAACATGAAATCTATACAAAACAGTTGTTAAGGGAGATTGCACATGCGTTTTTGGTACTGCGTCTTGGAGGCCTGCTGGGGCGTCTCACTTCTGCCCAGTGCGGATGCTCCTGACCCTGCTGGGGCGGACTCGGGGGTCCCTGGGATGAGGCCTTCCCGCCAGCGCCCAGGTGTGGGGACGGGGAAAGGGCCTGAGAGCTGGGGGGTGGAAAGCAGGCTCTTCAGCCCCCGGGGGAGGAGGACGGGACAGGACATACGGTGGTCAGTGCTCCGGGCGAGGGCTGTTCCCACAGGGCCACCCACGCCCCAGACCTCCCCTCCCACAGGGCCCTGGGGGCTGCAGTGCTCCTGGGGGCTGGGGCCACGGCCATCGAGGGAAGCCGCCGCCATTCACAGGATGGCCTGGTCCCCAGACGCCTGTCTCCGCACCACGCTTGCACCCCAATCCCGAGGGCCCCCGAAATCCCGGGCTGCGGGACCGTGGTCCGGGCCAGTGCGAAGGAAGCAGTGGCGCTGGCTGGTGCGACCCCTCGGACCGGTGCTGCCCAACAGACACCCTCCAGGGACACAAACCACCTCTGCGCAGCGTCCCGTGGAGGAGCCCTGGGGACCAATGGACACCAGGCCCAGCCCTGCCAGCTGGGAGGAGGCTCCAAGGGGCCCGCAGGGCTCAGCCTCACCAGCCCTTCCGAGTCCCTGCACTATCGCTGGCACAGGCAGCGGGGGAAGGTGCTGCCAACGCCGGCTGCCCTGTGCAGCGGGAAGACCCACCTTCCCAGCCGGTGGCCACAGGTGTGGGGAACTCCAGCTGAGGGCTCAGGGTGACAGAGGCAAGGCTGGATTCAGGGGCTCAGGCCCTCAGAGTTTCTTCTCAGCTCTGGGGACCCCAGACTCGCGGTCACCGAGTCTGGAGCACAGACCAGGTGCACCCAAGGCTGCTCTCCGGGGCCATCCCGCCCCTCAAACTCTGGAGCTTCCAGTGCAGCTGTGGCTGTCACTTAAGCCCGGGGGCCGCAGGCTGTCAGCTCCTGCTGGAGTCTAGACCCCACCTGCAGCTGAGGGGGCCGGGCCAGCTCCCAGGTCTCAGAGCCTCCCGCGTGCAGACGGCGCCCGCCTTGCACCAGGACCAGGCACACGCGCCAGCCTCTCTCCCTGGCTCCCAGCAGCCAGGAGGGGCATCGCGCACACACTTGATCCCTGAAGTGAAGACCCCAAAGGAGAGAGCCAAGTCCAGGGCCGAGGTACAAGGGAGACACTGAGAGTCTAACCAACCGCCCTCAAGAAGGGCCATGTGTGCACCAGCTGGCCCGGCCCCGAGTCTGGGGGGCGCTCGATCCTGACGCTGCTGGGAAAGCGAGGCTGTGGCAGAGACCAGTGACCCCGGGAGGAGGCTAAAGGGGCCAGGGGTGCTGCTGCCCGCTGAGGGCGGGGCCGGGCCTCACGTCTGGGCCAGCGAGAGCTCCTCCAAGCCGCCCTTTCCCAGGCGGTACCTGGCGAGGTCCTTCCTGGTCACCAGCCCAACCACCTGCGGAGCAAAGCCAGGTCAGGGCCCCCAGGGGCCGGGGTGGGGCAGCACAGTGGGGGGGCCCCAGGGGCTCTGGCACAGGGTTGGGGTGTGGGGCCAGGCGGGTCCGGGGCCTCAGCATCCCTTACAGGGAGCCGGGAGCAAGTGCCCGCCCAGGACAAGGGCAGCCCTGCTCCAGGGCGGCCTCGAGCAGGATGCAGACCACCAGCCACGCCGCAGCACCCACCCGCCGCTCACCTGATTGCGGTTGTCCACCACCACCAGGTGCCGCAGGCCCAGAGCCCGGAACAGCTTGAACACCCGAGGGAGAGATGCCTCCTGCAGGGTTGGCACAGCCTTCAGCTTACCCAGGCCCCTGCCCCAGGCACACCCACACGGCCACCAGGACGTCAAGGTGCGGCTGGGGCTGCCCCTTCCCCCACGCGCGTCTGGCCCTGCCTGTCTGGGCCCCCCGGCTCCCGAGCCCATGCTGTCGCCACTGCCCAGGGCTCTTGAAGCCTAAGGTCTGTTGGTGCCCCGCCTCCCCAGGGACAAATCCCGAGTCCTGCTGGGACAGCAGCCTCCTCCTGGCTCCACCTCCCGCCCAAGCCCTGGCCCCTCAGTGCACATTCTGGTCACAGGGCCTCGCCTCGGACAGCCACAGCCCCGCGCCCCCTGCCACCAAGGCTGCCCCTGGGAGGCTCCAGAAGGAGTCTCACCACCCCCGTCACCCACTCAGCACGGAGCTCCTGCCCCCGCCGCCCCTCCGCCTGGGCCCCGCGTGTACCTGGGGCACTGTGTAGGGGGAGGGGTTCATGAACTCGGAGAGGTCCATGGTGCACTCGCGCTCGTCCTGCGACACGTGGATGGACTGGATCGGGGGGAAGCGCGGGTAGGCGTCGCGGAAGTCCTTTAGCCTCAGCCGCCGCTGCACGAGGCCCATGTTGGAGCGCTCCACAAACACCTGCGGGCAGCGGCCGCGTCAGACGCCATGGGGAGCCCCACAGGACCCCGCACGCAGGCTGGGGGGGGAGACGCTGGGCCTGGCGTACCTTGTGCTTCAGGAGGACGATGAGCTGGGAGCGCAGGATCAGGCCCTGGAGCCGGGCAGGCTGCAAGGGGGGCCAGAACTCAGGCCGCAACGCCAGCAGGGACCGTCAGCAGCCAGGACCGCGGCTCTACCTGCTGTGGCCAGACGCCGCCTGGGCAGGGTCGCTGTGTAACAGCCACCTGTGAGCCCCAGCCCGGCCTCGGCGTTTCACTGGGGACGTCTCCTTGATCCCCAGGGACCAGAGACGGAGCGGCGCGGCCCAGCCACACCGAGCAAGGCAACGGCGGCTTCACCCCGGAGGCAGCACAGCCCCGCGTGCCCCAAACCACCCACACCCACGTCAGCTCGCCCTGCAGGACCCGGCCGGGGCGACGGCTGCACATCCCGCCAGGGCCTCCTGGCGAAGGCCACGGCACTGATCCGAGGCACCGGCCTCGCGGAGGCGGTTGGCGTTTACGCAGCCTGGGGGACACCATGGCTGCGCGAATTCCGCGCCCTGGGCAGGTGACAGATCTCACTCAACACCCAACTGCACGGCGCCGCCGTCCTGCGAACCACACAGCGCCTCACCCGACGGACACCAGACGGACCACAAGGAGCCTGGGCTGCGGACAGGTGCCCCCGGTACCTGGGTGTCATCTGCGTGCTCGACCACGGGGAACCCGTTGTGATTGGACGTCGTGTCGCTGAGCACGTCCACGATGACGCCCACCTTCTCCCTCCTCCTCAGGCAGGTCACTGGTGTGCTCATCACCTCCCTGCGGAGCGGCCGGTGGGGAGATGGCCACCTTGCAGCCACCCACATCCCTGGGCGCCCGCCATGTGCTGGCGGGAAACCCGGAGGTGGGGCCAGGCGCCCCCCGCAACTGCGCATAGCGGGCTCAACCCTGGGGCCACATTTCCCACCCAGGCATGGCCCCCCAACCACCCTCCAAGCATCCGCTGCATAACCTGCCACACACCCCACCTGCGGGGGGCTCCTGGTGGGGACGAGGCCCGGGGGTGGGTGGGAGGCGGCGCGGCCCCTACCTGGCAGTGAGTGAGTGTGAGGTGACCGGGGCCTCCCAGTGCAGGAAGGGCACGCTCTGCAGCTGGATGTGCATGTCGTACAGGCCCTGGGTGGAAGCGCATGATGTCCCTCCACGGCCGAAAGGAGTCCAGCTCGGAGGCCGGGGGGCGGAAGGGACAGGGGCGCAAGGGGCTGGAGGCTGGGGGCAGGTCTCGAGGGCCGTGAAGTGAGGGGCCACGGGGAGGGGCCGGGCCCTGCATACCTCGATGAAGACGTCGCCCACGATCTTGGCGGTCATGAGCACCAGCATGATGGGGAAGCCGTAGGTCACGTTGCTGGTGGCCTCCATCATGATGACTGTGAGGCTCAGGGTCATTCGCACGATCCCACCTGCAGGGTGGCCACAGCCCCATGGCCCGCTCAGGGCTACACGCCCACCCAGCTGTCCCTCTGGACCCCGCGCTGCCAGGACGGCACTGCCTAGCCCCGGCTGCTGCCCCTCAGCCCCGTGGGGGTGACGACCCCGCCTGCCTCGGCCCGCTTTCCGCTCTGTTCGCTCGAAGGCAGGGAAGACCCTGCGCGCAGCGGCCGCGGCTCTGCTCGGCGCAGGAGCCCCAGGGGCAGTGGGACTCACCAAGCTGGGCGGCGGCTCCCATCAGGGCGTACTTGCCGGGGTCCGCCCAGATCTGCGGGGGCGACACAGAGGGCGTGTTGAGTGCCTGGCAGCCGCCAGGCCAGACCACCACGACGCGCAGAGCAGGCCGCGCCTGGGCCGGCAGCCCACAGGCAGAGGCCAGTCCTGCGGCTGACACGCACATGCAGCGGCCCCGCATGGCCTGCCGAGCGAGCTACGCCTCTGCACGCGAGCAGCGAAGGAGAGGACGGTGCCCGAATCGCGGCTGTGCCACCTGGGAATGCCACTCAGCACACGAAGGACCGAAACTGCAACGCGCAACAGCGCAGGGAAACCTAGAACAAGGCGTGGGGAGCTCACACGAAAGGCCACACGTGTGCGACACCACGGACACGGGACAGAGGCTGGAGGCTGCGGGGCTGCAGTTAGGGGAAAATGGGGGTGAGTGCTAATGGGCATGGGGCTTCCCTTTGGGATGACGGAGTGTTCTGGAACTAGGTAGTGATGGTTACACAAGATTGTAGATGTGACAAACACCACTGAGCTGTTCCTCTTAACACAGCGAATCTGAGAGTCTATGAATTTTATCTCCACGTAAAGACGGGAAACGGGCATGGCAGGGGCCTCGGGAGCAGGAGGTGGCACAGAGATGTCTCACTGTGGCCTGTCCAGCTTTTTGATTTCATTGAACGACTGGAGTGAAAACAGGAAGACACAAACTACAAACGGCGCTCGCTGCCCCCCACCGACAGGCCACCACGACTACGAGAGCCCCGCGCCCATCCCCGTGCCCCAGGCGGGGCCCCCACATGCACTCACCGCCGCGCCCGTGAGGCAGGACAGGGAGATGCCGAAGAGCCGGCCCCAGGCGGCCCCGATGAGCAGCGAGGGGATGAAGACCCCGGCAGATACGGTGAGCCCGTAGGTCCAGCAGGCCAGGAAGAAGTAGACCAGGGTGAACAGGCCGAGCGTCAGCGGATTGTAGGAGCCTAGGGGAGAGGAGGGCTGACACGGCCTCCCAGGCGACCCTTGCCTTGTGGTCACGCCCCGGGAGCCAGACACCTGCGCCTGGAGCCCCGAGCCGTCGCCCTGGGGAAGGAGGGGCCGCACCGGCTCAGCCGGGGAAGCCGTGGCTGTGCGGGCTTCAACGCAACGGCCCGCAGGACCCAGGCCCCAGCCCCACAGCGGCACCACGTCCAGACCCCGGGGGAGATGCCACGGGGTGCAGCCCGCAGCTTGGCACAGGGCGAGGGTGCCACACCCAGCCTGGAGGTCCCTTCCTGGCACAGGGGTAGCGCCCACCCTGCAGGCAGCAACCTGGCTCCAGCTCTGCTCCCCTGGCCCAACTGTACCTCAACCAGCCAAAAACGACAAAAAAGACAGAACTTTCCTCTGCACCTGAGCACAGGTCAGTCCGCACAGCCCAACCCGGTCAGTGGTCCCGGGAAAATGCCCTCCCGGGGGTGGGCGGGCAGGTGGACGGCTGAGAGGCGTCCTGCCGGGCGCAGGAGGCGCCACCTCCGGGAAGGGAGGAGGGGCTGGCAGGGAGCCGCCACTCCAGCTGCCGCAGCTCCAGCTCATCCGACCCCAGTCCCAGGGAGGCTCTTCCTGGGCAAGGCTCCGAGGTCCGCAGCGGCCGGAGTGTGGAGGCTGCGTCCTCTGGCTGGTTGGGGCGGGGCACAGGGGAGCCCAGGCCGCCCAGTGCAGCCAGCAGGACGGTGCCCGCAAGGCCAAGGGGAGGGGCTGTGCGTGGAAGGCCGTCGGCCGCCACCCCACACCAGGCAACCGCCCAACTCGGGGGACATGTCGACCAGATGCTGGAATCACGAGCCCCACGCCAGGGTCCTCGTGCAGGGGGCCTGGGGGCCTGGCCTCACCCAGATTTAAAAGGGTTTCTGTTCAACCTCATGAACCAGCCGCTCAAACACGCACAGACCAGAGAACTGGGAGTTCCCAGAGGCTTTGTGACAGGAAACAACTAGAAACAAGCCTACGAGTCCCCAGACAGTCAGAAAATCTAACGATCATATTACGCGCAACAGGAGGTGTGTGGGACAAGGGCCCAAGGTTTGTGCTAGCTCCACCGTGGGCCTGGAGCACCATGGGCGGGCACCACTCTGGGCGCTGGGGACAGGATGGCAGGCGACAGCACCTGCTGCAGGCAGGCTCTACGCTTCCACTGGGAACGTGTGGCCGGGTTCTCGCCTTAGAGTGACCTGCGCGCAGCACCCACAGGGAAAACTCACCCTGGGCAGGGAGGTGGAGCCAGGCCAGGCGACCGCTCCGCTGGAACCCGGCCAGGCCCTGCCCGAGACGCATCAGGAACCCACGGGCCAGCCCTGCACTCCAGCACCCCACCCACCGCACACTGGGGATGGCCCCTGCCCAGGGCAGCAGCCTCTGCCGACAGCCAGAAGTGTCACCCACACCCCGGGCCAACACCACTGACCAGCGCGCACCTGGCGGGTCATGAAAAAGGCTAACCACGCTCTTCTCCGGGGTGTTGAAGAAGGCGGCGGCCATGGAGTTGTACTCGCCGTCCGCACAGAAGAGCTGCAAGGCCAGAAGAGAGAACGGGTCGGGAAGGGGGTGGGCGGCAGGCTGCAGACACAGACCCGGCGTCGTCGTCAGCAACAGCGTGCTCCGCGCCCAGCCAGCATCTAGCTCCAGCCCCCACAACGGGATCAGGTCGGGGCCTGCCACGGAGGGGAGGACGCAGACCCAGGCACGGCAAGAGCTGCAGGCCTGTTGGGGTGTCCAGCCCGTCTCTGGGGACACAGGGCCGGGAGCACACCGCAAGGATGTCTCTGGGGAGCCCTGGTGGGGCCGGGGCCGAGGTCCCCACAGAGGGCGGGATCAGAGCAAAGCAGGGGCTCCCACGGCGGGCCGAGCCCAGCCCTGCACCAGATGCTTTGTCCACACCTGTCCGTCAGCACTCGCCCTGCCCCCCAGCCCCGGCGACCACCGTGCCTGTCCCTGCTCTGGCGTCTCGTGTCAAGGGCATCGCACAGTGTGGCCTTGCGTGCTGGGCTTCTCTCGCCGAGCACCGTGTGCGCGCGAGGCCCGTCGGTGCTGCGCCATGTATCTGGGCTCCCTTCCCGCACACGGCAGAACGTTCGCCACGCACAGCGTCTGCTCTGGGCGGCTATCGACTGCGCTGCCGTGAACTGCCACACGCAGGCTAGCGTTTCTCCCGCGTGTGCACCTACAGCCCCAGTTCTGAAGCTCTAGTCAGGTCACCGTTCTGGGAAGAGGACTGGGGTGAGACTGTAGCCCTGACGCTACCGCCCCATCCCCCGGCAGACAGCTCTGGGACCTGGGTGGGGACAGTGCTAACTAGCCCTACGGCCCGCCAGCCCGTTGGCTTCCAGAACTTGGCTGCATCACCATGCCACTGCTGCGAGCAGGACCGGGGTGAGGACTGCGGGGGGGCTGGCCCTGCACAGCTGCACTGCCTGCTGGACCCACCCGCCTGGGTCCCCGGGCCTCCTACCTGGAGGGGGTAGGACATGGAGTTCCCCTGCAGGGGCTGGCAGTCGCGGGAGGAGTAAATCAGCACGAAGGCGACGGTGGCCGTAACGGCGGCCACCAGCATGGCCTCAATGACCTGGAGGCAGGGCCGGTGGATGTACCTGGGGCCAAGAGTCAGGAGGGACCGTGTGTGGGGATGGCCGGGCAGCACCGGCCACGGGTGGCAAACCCACAACACCACGTCCGTTTGCAGAGGCCCCGCGTGGCCACACCCGTCAGCGCAGCACACAAAGCCGAGGTTTCCATCTCACCTGATTCGAAACATCGTCAGCCAGTAATTCAAGGCGTTGAACACAGCCCCGAGAACACCACCTACGCCCAGGAGAAAGACTCGGGTCAGTCGCATGGGCAGGGCAGGTGGGGCCTCCGCCGTGCGGCCCCCCGGGAGGCAGAGAGGCGCGAGGAGTCCTATCACAACGCTCCCTCTGCCGCGCCACATCCTGCAGGGAGGGCGGGCTTATCACTGGAAGGCTTTGCCCCCCTCCCAGGGAACGAGGTTTTTTTGCGAGTAGAACTGCCGCTGGGGCCTGTTCTACCTCTCAGAGGGGAAAAAGTCCCTTCCCTGCCCCCGCCGTGGTTCCCTCCCCGGTGAGCGTGCTGCCCATGGAAGAACCCAGAAGGAGCAGTCCCGTGCGAGCTGCGTCTCCGCCATCCCGAGGCCGAGCGCCCTTACCCACCACGCCCATGGCGATGAAGACGGGGATCTCGTGGATCGTGTACGCCATTTTCTGTGCAGAAAGAGGAGGAAGCCGAGGCTGCTGTGGAAGTGACCACACCTCTCCCCACGCAAACCCAAGGGCTGGACATCACGACATCTGTCCACACGCACGGAACCTCCCGGCAGTTCCACTCGGGGCCGCAGAGGTCCCGTGGGAGGGAGGGACTCCGGGCACCGTGAGCGGACCCAGCCCCGCTCCGTCCGGCGGTCGGGAGGCTCTCTGAGGCTGCGCGAGGCATCAGTGCCTCCAGCCCAGGCGCCAGGCACCGGGGGGCGGTCCCGAGCACGAGGAACACACCTCTCCACTCCCAGGTTTCCACGTGCAGCAGGACCGCCCTGCAGAGCTCCGTCCCGGGACTCCGCAGAAAGGACGGCCCGGGCCCACCCACCGCCACGAGCTGCTGCACATGCACCAGGACACCCTCGTGCCACAGCCCGTGTGACGGCCCCGGCCCTGCAGCCTCACAGGACGTCCTGACTCAACACGCATTTTCCCAGAGCACCTCAGGCGCGTGGAGCTTATAGTTCCACAGCTGAGCCAGCGGTTTCCCGAAGAGCAAACTCTCAGATCTGGGCCTCAAGGAAGCAGGGTCCCAGCAGCAGAGGAGCGGGCGGGAGACGTGGTGCGTTACCTCCGAGTCGAACCTTCCGAAGTTGATGAGGCCGGGGCTGGACAGGTCCCACATGTTCCCGTGGTAAATGCTCAGCACGAAGTTCAGGGTGAAGGTGGAGATCATGGAAGCGAAGAACTGCCGGGAAGACGCCGGCACCGTCAGAGCTGCGCTCCGAGCCCACGCTGGAGCTGGGTGCCGGGAGTCTGCGGACCCCGCCCGAGGCAGAAGGGAAGGGGCTGGGCCACCGTGTACCAGGCAGGGCCAGGACCACAGCCCGGGTAGATGAGCCGGTGGAAGACAGGAGGGCAGTGGGCAGGGTCTGGGGTCTTGGCCGCCCCGCCCCACAGCCTGGACCCATCAGGGTGGCAAAGATGCCCAGGACTGAGGGGGGCTGGGCAGCAAGCTCATCACCGCCTCGGGCAGGGACGCGGCCTGACACGCCCACAGGCCCTTGGTAAGGACGCCCCAGCAAGGCACTTACGATCCTCCACGTCAGGAACTGGTTCCAAAAGGAGGCGCCTTCCTCCAGACTGAATAGAACCCCACCTGAAAGGCAGGTGGCGGCACCTCAAGTGCCAGCAGATACAGGGCACCAGCACGCACCCACTCCCGTCCCCAAGGAACTAAGGCCACGTCAGGAGGCATCTCAGGGGTGGGAAGAGGAGTGGCGCGGGAAGGGGGGCCTCCTGGGAGGTCCAAGGGCCAGGCCCACGCACACTGACCGACACCCCTTCCAAATGCCCTGGCCAGGGACTCCAGGCCCCTGCCCACCCTCCCTGGGCACTCAGTCTGGAAACAGCAAGGCGATTCCTCCCAACTCGCAGGAAGAGCGTGGATTCCCAACCCAGCGGGAGAAGCCACAGACCAGGTGGGGCTGGTCCCTCCTCACCCACTGGGGCTCCAAACGCAGCCGACACCCCGGCCGCAGCACCTGCGGAGACGAAGTCCCTCTTCTCTGTGTCTCTGCGGAAGTACTCAAAGATCTGAAACAGGAACAGAGCTGTGGGTAGGTTCTCCAAAGTGCCGGCTCGCCTCAGAAAGGAGATCAGCCATGGGCGCCTGGGCAGGGCTGGGGAGGGCGGGGCTTCCCCAGCGATTACATCCTGGGCTGTGGGCTGCACGGAGCGCAGTGCTGGAGACAGCGACAGAACACAGGCTGACGTGGCTGCCCTGCTGCCAACAGCTGGGGGAAAATAACAGAAAGGCCCCAACAGGAATTCTGGTTTACAACACACCTAAGACATACACTGAAAACCTCCAAACTCCACTGAGACCTAAAGAAAACAATGAATGAAAAACCTAAACTTGTTCGCGATTTTAAAGAGTCTGTACTGTAAAAGTGTTAACTGTCTAAATGCATGTCGATTCAGTATAATCCTTACCAAAATGATGGTGGCTTTTTTGGAAAACACAAAATTGTTCCAAAACACATCTTAAAAAATACACATCTCCAACGTGAAATATGCTGCCTCTGACCTGCCTTCGGGTCGTATATTCCTCTGAGAAGTCGCTCAGCACCAGAGGCCCCTCCATAGCGAACGCACACCCACCCGCCGTGGGGGACTCCGTGGGGGCTGGCCGCGGAGGGGCCGTGTGGGGTAGAGGCAAAGGGACCTTGCCCACCCTGTCCAGGAACAGGCCAGGCTGTCTCTCGGAGGGGACGGGGACAGGGACACGTGCGCGGGAGGGAGGAGAGGGCTCACCTTGAAATCTCGCTTCAGCGACGTCGACCGCCCCTGGGAAATCCCGGCGGCGATCACGGACCCAGAGTGGATCATCGGCCCTTCCTTGGAGACACAGAACACAGCCGACGCTCAGAGATGACACACGGGCCCCGGTGTCCCTCACAGGGTCGGGGACTCAGACGTGGGCCGGGACAGCGTCACAGGCACTGTTACCTTTCCCACGGCCAGTCCTCCTACCACGGACAGAATCACGCCAGACACTTTGATCACCAACGTCTGAAACACAGGGAAACGCATCGAGTCTCTGATTAAAGGGACCCCCAACAACAAAACCGCAGGCATGGTGACGGATGACACAGAGCACCCCGGGCGTCTCCGGGGGAGGGGCAGGCACCCCACAGGGCTGACCCTCCCCACGGCCACACGACACCGAACCAGCCCAGCTCCCTCTTCCACACACAATCCAGGGGACGCTCAGCAGGGCAGGGTGGGCATTTCCCTCTTTCTGAAGCAACGCTGAGCTGCGGACCATCCTGGAGATGGCATCCCGCCCCTCGGCCCCAGCACCCTGGGGACATGGAGGTGCTCCCACCAGCCCAGGAAACACTGTCACTTAGAGGGCTTCGGGACCCGCCTCGGGGGCGCTCCCTGTCCGCCCCGTTGTTCTCGCCACACATTCCTGGAGACCAGAAGCCGCCTGTGGGTGCTCACGGCACTCGAGGGTAAGCGGAGGCTGGCTTCGTCGGGAGCCCTCAAGGTTTATAGATGCTTCCCCCACTGGGGCGACCCTGGGGAGGAGAGCTCCCGACCGTCGGCCGGCTCATGAAGGGCATGCACGGAGACACTTCAGCAGCCTGCGGCAGGCACCGCGTCAGCACCGTTCCCAGGGGCTCTGGGTGAACTAGCTCTGCTGCTGCAAGGCCAGAGCTCCCCACGCCCACAGCGCGACCACGCCGGCCCCTCCGCAGACAGGGACAGAGCCCCGGCCAGGCTCAGGGTGGGGGACACTGACAGGACCGACAGACGCAGCCCCTACAGCATTGGGATGTCACTGATGACGTTACGCAGAACGAGTGTTAGGGAATGTTTTGAAAACAGGAGAAAAATCACAAGCCTACCACCCTAACGCAATTACTTCTGTTTTGAAATGTTAATGACCACATAGTCCTTCGTTGCAATTTTGCATGGCTGTGATCGTAACCTATGCACCACCTCAGTGTTTCTGCACCATTCAATATGTACAAGAAGAAGTTTTACCATTTCCGAGAAAAGGTCACCCTTCACACAAGCCGTCCGCCCATCCACTCCCTGTCACCACCCACTAGGCAGCCTGGGGTGCTTGGTGGGGGCGAGGGGTGAAACAGCTGCTCGGAGCCAGCAGATACCCGCCTCGCGCCTGGCCGGGGGGCACCCTTGCACCTCACCTTGAGTCGCACCACGTGGGGGACCTTCACCCCGTTGAGGAAGCACTTGATCTGCGGGATCCCACTGCCAGCCGCGACCGGCTAAAAGGGGGAAGGCGCCACTGAGCGGGCCAGGCCACAGGAGCTCGGCTGACGGGAGGGGCCCAGGTCTGGGGACAATCTCACTCGTCCAATCCAGACACGGAGCGCCCCTGAGAGAGTAAACCCTGAGGGATGTCGGGGAGCCAGGGTCGTGGGGGGCCGGGGTAGAGACAGAAGGCCCACGTATCCCCAAGGGTTCAAGGGTAGGGTAGGGTCGGGACACTCCAGGGTGGGCAGGCACCTATCACACACCAAGCAAGAAGGACCAGGGCTTCCTGCATTTGGGGGCCACTGCTCTGCACCCCAGAAAGAAGGTTCTGGATGCTGCTCCTTCTTCCACCATGACAAGGAGGGGAGGCCAAGGGGAGACTTCTGGGAGAAGCCCCGGGATGGAGGAGCACCCCAGGAGGGTCTGAGCCCCTTGGGAGAGGGTTCCCGCTGGGGGCTGGGTCATCCCCACTCCCGAGACTGCACACCCTGGAGCAGCCTAGCGCCCAGCTG